CTGAAAATAAACTTAATAAATCTATTAAATAATACATTAAATTAATATAAGACTAAAAGTAAATTAGAAATAATTTATTAACTTTAATTATATATTAAATATAAATCAGAAATAATTCTTTTATTATGCATTAAAACTTAAAATAAATTAAAAAACAATTTATTAATACATTAAATAAATAAACTTAAATAATTCAAAATAATACTTTAGTGAATTTAAAATAATCAGAAAAAATACTTTTATTATAATTTATCAAAATATCTTATTATAATAATATAAATAAAATTGTACTTAAAAATAATTCTATTATAGCAAGTTTTTCAAATGAATTAATAGTAAATTTTTTAAGTAGCTTTTATATAATATATTAATAAATTCTTTTGTATTAAAATATTTAACTATTTAAGTATTTTATTTTAATATTTACTTTTTATTTTAAATATTTAATTATATTTCTTAAATAAATTTATTAATAAAATTATTTTTATTAATTTATTTTGAAAAATTTTATTGAAGTAATTTAGAATTACATTTATTTATATAATTTTATTTAGAGTTCTAAATGAGTTGAGTTGAGTCGAGTTTAAAGATCAACTCTATTCGACTCTCTTTTTTCAAGTTGAGCTGAGTCAAATTTATTTTATAAAATCTTTCAATTTGATTTGATTTGAGTTATATAAATTTTAAACTTAACTCAATTTGACTTGACTCAATTTTAACTTGATTTGATTTTAAAAAAAATAATAAAAAAAATAAAAAGATCAGAAAGGAAAGAGCGAACGATTCATCATCATTTAAATCAACTTGAGTCAACTCGAATTAACTCGAATCAAGTTGAGTTTAAATTGAGTTGAATTAAATATTTAACTCAACTTGAATTTGGCTTGACTCGTAAATCATCAAGTCAAAAAATATAAACTTGACTTAATTTAAATTCGACTCAGCTTATCTGACTCGTGAGTTAATTTGACTCATCTGAAATTCTAATTTTATTTTATAATTTGAATATATACTTATTTTTTTAAATTATAATTTTTTATATTATAATTTTATATTATTTTATTATAATTTAATCAATCAAAATATAATATTTATATAATTTATAAATTTAATAAATATTTTAATATTTTAAGTATTAAAAATAAAATTATAAATTAATAATAAATATAATAATAATAATGATAACTTTTATTAAATTAATTAAATATAAATAAAAATTTATTAATATATGAACTGTAATCTACTTTACAGAAACTTAGTTTCCTTAATATGCAGTAACTGCAAAGTGACTATATAGTAAATATATAATTACTACCTTACTTAATAGTAGCTTAATCATAACCTAATATATACTATGCAGTTACTGTATAGTAAGAAAACAAAGTCTCTGTAAAGTATATTTTTAAATAAATATTAAATATTTAAGAAATCTAGAATAAAAAATTTTTTACCTTTTTATAAATTTTATAAAATATATTACATAATTAATTTTAAAGATTTATATTAATAAAATAATATTTATTTATTTTTATTTTTTTATATAAATAATATTTTGCTAAAATAAATCATTTATATATTATACTGTTCTATAATAAATTATCAAATTTATTTAGTAATTAATTGAAGATATTCAGATTGCATAAAAGTTTACAAATTTTTAATTAAAATCATCAGATTTTTTTATTAAAAATTTCTATGTATACAGGTATATTGTATATAGGTTATGTAATATTACTAATATTAAAAAATTAAAAAAATACCTGTGTGATAACTATGTGACAGATAGTTTATAACAAATAATAATTTTTCATCAAAAAAATTCTAAGTCTCTATAATAAATAATAAAAACTAAAGACAGAAGGGCCTAACATAAGTAACAAATATATGTCATATAATTTGTATAGATATACCTTATATAAACTTAGAAATTTTCTTTTTTATTTAAAAGTTGATCAATTATAAATTTAAATATTAAAATGAAAAAAATTTTTTAAAATATAAAAACTTTTCTCATTATAAATATAAACAATAATTTTTTATATATTTTTTACATTTTTATATATAAATTATCTTATTTTATTATTTTATAAATGAGTATTTTTGGCATTTTATAAATATAATATTTTTGAATAATATTTTAATTATAATTAATTAGCTATTAAATAAAAAAATTTAAAGTGAATTTTATTAAAAATTCATAAACTTTTATACCATTTAAAATCTTCAAGTTTACTATAATTACTAAATAAAATTTATAAAATCTAGTAATTTATTATAGGATAATATATAAATACAAAAAATTAGTAATATTTTTATATTTAGTTTAAAATTATTTAATTTTAATTAATATATTAAATATATTTTATTATAAAATATTTATTTTTAATATTTTATTTTATAAAATCTTTAAATTTACAATTTTTTAATTTTATGTTTATTTGAATTAGAATTTTAATTTATAAAAAAAATATTTAAATAAAATGAATTATAATTAGAATTTTTATTAAAATCTTAATTTATAAAAATGTTTTTAAATAAAAATATATAAAGATAAAATATATTTAAGTTAAAAATAAAAACAATATAATAAAATATTTTTAACTAAGATATATATTTATGCATTTTATTTAATTTAAGTCTAATTTATTTTATTTATATTTTTAAGAATAAAGAAAAATGTTAATAATATATTTTCATTTTTTTCTAATATTTAAAAATAAAAAATAAATATTAATAAACTATTTGTATTAAAAAATATATATTTATAATTTTTATTTATTCAAGTTTGATTTATTTAAATTGTCTTAAATTTTATTTATTTAAATATAATATTCTAAAAAATATAAGAAAAAGAAATTTTAATAAAATATTTTAATTAAAATTTATAAATTTTAATTTCTATTTCAAATTAATTTATTTTTATCTATTTTAATTAAAGTTTACAAATTTTAGTTTTTATTTCAAATTTAATTTATTTTTTATCTAATTTATTTTTTATAAAGTTTAGAAAATAATAATTAAAATTAAAATAAAAGTTTTAATAATCCATTTAATCAAGTCTGATAAATAATTTAAATTTGTAATTTACTCTAATTAATTAATTTAAATTTTATTAAGTTAAAATATAAATCAAATTAATTTAATATTAATCTAATAAATTATTAATTTAACTTGAATTTTTCAGTTTAAATTAGATTAAATAAAATCAATATAAACAAATTCAAAGTTAATTTAAGTTTTAAATTTTACAAATTATTTAGTATAATTTTTTTTTATTTTTTATTTTTTTACCATTTAAATAACTATTAAATTTTTATATATATAATAACTAATAATATATAATAAAAAATTTAAGTAGATAATCTATTTAATATAATAAATTTTAATATCTTTTTAATTAAATCTATTATAATAATAATTTATTGCAAAATAATTAAATTTTGAAAATTTTATTCATATTACTATATAAATATAATAATTTTGTAAAAATATTTATTTTAAATATAATATAATTATTATATAAGTGTTATATATATAAATTATATATAATATTAAATAAATTCTTTAACAATTTATTATAATTTATAATTATATTTTATTTTATATTATTATCTAATTTATAATTAAATAATTAAACAAATTAAATACTTTATTAATTAAATAATAGAAAGATTTAATTTAATAATTTATTAATTTTTTAAAAAAAAAACCTTAAATAAATTTAGATTTAAGATAAATAGAAGCTAGATTGTTAAATTATTATAATAATTTTTAAAGTTTACTATTTAAGTTATAGTAAATTTTTAATAAATTATTTTATTATATATTAAAAAAAGAAAAATAGGGAAATTTTTTTTATAATAAAATAGTTGCAAATTAATATTAATAATAAATTAATGATTTTTTATCATTTAATACTTATATTTAATATTATTAAATTAGTAAAGTTAAAAAATTTTTCTTTATTAAGGAAATCTAACTAAATAATATGATATTTAGTTTAATTAAAAATTTGAAATCAGATTAGGTTTTATTTAATTTAAACTATTTGATTAATTTGATTTGATTTGATTTATTTGATCTTTAATATAAATATTAACAAATCTAAAATAAGTAATTTAAATTAAATATTATATGTATCTAAATTTTATTAGTTATATAATTATAATTAATAAAATTAATTATTTTTAATCAATATTTTATTATAATTGCAATTATAATATTTAATTATTTAAATTATTTAATTATTTTTAGTTTTATGTAATTTATTTTTATTTAAATTAAAACGTATTTTTACTTTTATATCTGATAATATATGTAATAAATATTAATTAAACAAATTATAGTAAATTTAAATAAATTACAAGTTAAAAATTAGGTAAAGAAGAGTTACTAATCCTTTAACTGAATATGAAGTTATTATATTATTAATTATATAAATTTAGATTAAAGAATTATATTATATTAAAAATTTTCAGAAATGCCAATTTTTTTATTATTCAAGTAATTAAATATTATAGTTATTAGTATAAAGCTTTAAGAAAGGAATGATATATGTTTTAATATAGATCAAAAGTAAATTAAAGAAATGCGAATGTTTTAAATCACTTATGTTTAGTATACAAAGCTTATTTGATGAGTAATTTCGATATTTCACGTGAATTACTTTTTAAAGATTTTATACGAAAATTCCATGTTGTTTCACGATAAAGATTCTTGTATGTTGCGTATGTGTGGCGCATTGAATCAAACCATTGTTTCTGCGAGATTATATTTTTAAAAAATATATTTACAAACAAATAAACAAGGACAACATAAGTTCATTATTTAAGGTTTACATAATTTGGGTTATTTTTAATTTAATACGCTAAAAATAATTTATTTATAATCTTAAAAAAAAAAAAAAAAAAAAAAAAATTGAATTCATAACGATAATAAATCTTATTGTGTAACTTGATCGCAGTAAGTATTTAGATTTTTTTACTATACTATACATTTTTTCATTCTTCAATGATTAAACTTTCTTCCATTTCTGGTTGAAATTCTTCCTTTCTAGCCCAAATCCTATGAATTTTATCATAGCCATGGTTATAACTTAATTCTTTCATAACCGTTTCAACAATCGAATCCCATTCCTTATCATCGTAGCCACAATCTTTCATTACATTCCGTAGATTCTTGGCTCCCCACTCATACATATATTCATAATACTCCCCCAATTTTCCACCCCATTTACCTATTGGGATATTCCTTTCAGCATGATATATTATTGGGAAATGTTTTGTTTTAGAAATAAATTTCGGAAGCTTTGGGGAAATCACGGACTCAATTTTCTTCTTTGACCGTAATTCTTCTGCGACTATTTTTTTTTTTTTTAAAAAAAAAAAGTTACAACCTGGTATATTTATTAAATAACTTAAAATACTAACAAACACTTACAGCATATCCTCGCATTCCTTGTGAAATTTCCTTCATTCCAAAATAGGATATCCTTCTCCATAAATTCAACGTAACCGCCAACCTTGCACACCCTACAGATTTCTCTTATGGCGATTTCCCAATCTTTTAAAGTAAACGCAAATATCATGAGTCTACATATAACGTAATCAAATGTGTTATCCGCATAAGGTAGACCAGCAAGAATGTTGGCCTGAAGAAATTCGACGTTGCAAGGTTTGGTATGAATTGGATAAGTAGGCGCAATGTCTATGCCGGTGAATTTTGATTTTGTATAATCTGTCGCCATTTCCAATGTCCACGTTGCGGGACCGCATCTTTCAAGATGAAAGGAGAAGTAAATGCGTAAATGAATGAATGCTTTATTATCGAAAAAAAAAAAGAAAGGGTCGAAGCTTACCCGACATCAAGAATCTTTGAATCTTTTGTTTCTAGCAATCGTTTTACTGGAGCAGAATAGTTATCACCCCAAACATGACGACAAAGATAGTGCTGGTTTTGCATCCTATCAATTTCATTGTCGTCAACTGGATACAGATAATTTATGTTTGATATATTTATGTATTTGCGATTTCCTCTGTTGTAGTATATATCGAAATTTGGCGATGGTAAAGGGACTTGGTAATCATGTGGTTTAATGAATTTTGTTTGGGAAGTCGACTTGGAATTTATTAAAGAATTATTACTTTTGTCAGGTCTTGATAGTTTTTTACCCATAATGAATGTAGTTGATGCGCAGTGATTACGCGATATAATTTACATGGATTTGAGAAAGATTAAAAATTGTTGACGGGTCCTTTATAAGCAATTTTTTCCTTAGGGAGGGATCGCATATATATATATATTGTTTCATATATAAACAAGGTATTTTTGCCTAGTTAAGATGGCTTTTTTAATCGACGTTGATTGGCCCAAATTCCAAACAAGGATAATATGTACAACCAACATTTAATGTGATTGGTTCTCGAAACCATTCATATATACATGGGTTGAGTAAATTTTGCAACATTTTTATGAACTTATTGTTTTAAAATAGAATTCTTTGGCTTATTTTAATTTTTTTCTTTACTTTTTTTTTTACAATTATTAAGAATTTACAATGATGATGTTACAATATTTATTCTGATTTAGTATAATAAGTAAAAAGGGTTTCTTTATTGCTTTGTTTGGAGGTGAATGCGTCACGAAAGTTGTAAGACATCGCGGAGCATCCGATATGATGATCAGGGTTATTTTTATGATCGAATGGAACATGTTTTTGCGTATGATGTTACAATGAATATGATAAATATCTTATCTGTTCTTTAATGAATTTTATTGGTACACAAGAATTTCGATATCTCGGCAGCACTTAATTATATGGACAAATTGTCTCACAACAATAATGTTTATTATTAATAAGGCTTGAATAATTTGTTTCTTATTTTACTACGGTACCATGCTATGGGCAAACGGTTAGCACATGATTTTTTTATCAACAAAATCATTCAGGAATTATACTGTATATAGATTTTATTTTTTCGAAAAAAAAAAAAAAAAAATGAAGGAAAGAAAAAAAAGAAAGAAAGAAAGAAAGAAAACGATGATGTTCTCATTGACACATCCGCCAAATGTTGACCGGTATAATCAAAGCTCAACATAATTTTATCCATGTTTATTTTTAGTTTTAGAATTTATTAGAGAAAAAAGGTCGGTTGCTTGTTTTAGAAAAGATAAACGAGAGTAAGTGGCTGATGTTTTCACATTTGGAAAAGTCCGCCCACACATTTATTGCACAACAAAAATAATTTAATCCTCCCTCCTTCCCAGTTTACTAAATTGTTATGCGGAAAGTCCGTAATTCCGACTGTTTTGCGTAATTATTAATGGTCTTGTGCATCATCATTTCTTGCATATTTTGTGTCAAGTTGTTTACATAATCTCATGTAATTAGGACGGATTATCTTTTATGCTCAAAAGGCTTTGAAATACCAATTCCTTACCTAATTACATAAACGAAAAAAAAAAAATTCAATTCCAAACTTTTTAACTTTTTACAAATAATAAAGTTTCTTCATATTAATGATTATCAACCGCTAGGAAAAATGACAGTTTTGTTAACCGTGAAAAATCAAAACGGCTCAACCGAACTGTTTCTTACCTATCAAACAGTTCACACTGCAGATTCAAGGAGAATATTCGGAACCAAATAACTTTTCTTCGGAGAGGTTTGTAATTGGCTAATGATTTAAATTTTTGGTTTAATAATATCATATGATATCTGGTTTATTACACGAATAAATTTCTCCATTTACTAATGGGATAATAAATGGGATAATAATGGTACTAAAAATAAGTTTAACCAATAAAAGTTAAAGTCCACGACATGTTTATTGATGATGTCGCCGCCTCTTTAATATGTTATTATTCGGAATGCTGGTCTAGATCATGTTTGATGATTTCAAAATTTCAAAAGTTATGCGTGACCACTTTCCCGTCAAATTCTTCGCCGAATATGTCGGTGGATAATAATTTTACTTTGTAATAAAATTTTACTCGAATCTTTTTTTTTTTTTTTATTCAATGTAAAAACATCAATCAGCATTTAAAAATTATCTAAAAAGGATATAATAAACCGAGTAATAATAATTTGAAAGAAATAGAATTCCATGTGCTAATTGTGAATTTTGACCATCTGACCGATATTTACTTATTTATATCTAAAAATATGTTTCCAATTACTACCAATAATATAATTTTTCGGATCAAAAGTAGTGTAAAACTATCGATTGAGTTTAAAGTGATGGAATATACCGTAAATTTCTTGTACGTGTATTTATTAGGAGTGGCGTTGGCACAAAAGATCACATTTATCTTATAAAAATCGATCACTAAAGTCAACCATTTTTATATATGTGTCAATTCGTAAAATAAGTACATTCAATTTTACAAATTATTAATGTTTAAAACATATATAGAATTAATAATAATATTTTAAATTGAACAGAATTAAATGAATAATTTTCAAAGTCGACATTAATTTGTCTGATTTAGCATTAACTTAATTTTTATTTTTCCCCTCTTTTCTGTTGCAAAGGTCCCATATGTGGCGTAGATTTTTTTTTTTTTTTTGTTTGTGCTCCGTATTGATGATTTTTGTACACTCATACTTTAGGAAATTGATGTTGATAGGGAAATCGTTAGAAAAAGATAGTGAGTTTGGAATAAAAAAAATTTTTTTAATTAAAAGATAAAATAAAACAAAGTTTTTAAAATTTGAGGTAATGATTATTTTTGTTTTTAAGTTTTTTTTTTTACCAAGTCACATTGTTGCTTAAAATCAAGAGAATACGGTAAGCGTGACCGTAAATAATTCTGCATTTTAATATGAAAAAATAAAAAATGATAAAAATGAACAAATGTTTTTTATTATGATCACTTTGCGTCTGAGCGAAGTAAAGGTTTGGCTAATCTTTCGCTTCGGAGGTTTTTAATCTCTAGTTAATAGATAATGCATTTATAAAATTGAAAGTTGACATATTTCTTGTTTTACAATAGTGATTCAAGAATTGAAATTTTTTAATGCATTGCATTGGCGCTGGTATCTGGTGCTGGAATTGGAATTGGCATTAGCATTGAAGCTAGCATTGGCGTTGGCATTAGTGCTGGCATTGGCATTGGTGGTAGCGTTGGCATTGGTGGCATTTTCTTTTTAATAAATAAATAAACTTTAGGCTATAAGAATTCTAGCTGGTTGAGACACCATTTTCAACTTTGTATGTTTTTTTTTTCAGATCTAGAAATCGTGTAACTATAATTGAGTTACTTTACTCTATAGTTAACTATCGCAAAATGTTACACTTACCGATCATATTATTTAAGAAATTGATAGATCATCATGTGCTCAATCAATTCTAATCATTGATTTTCCTTTTAGACGATTACTTTTTTTTTTTTTACATTTACGCGAAATCTCGCTTTAAAAATAAGTTTTTTTTTAAGATCTTACAAGTAGATACAAATATACAAACTTTAACAACAAAAATATATGTAATATTATGGGAGGAAGAAGATTCTCTTAGGTTGTAGGGTGTGTTTTTCAGTTGGATTTTATGTAATATACAAAAAATCGATTTTTTAAATAAAAAAAAATTTTTTAATTATAAATTTTATGGTGACAAGCTCTTAATAAATGCTTTGAATTTAAATACAACTTGGTGAAAATAACAACCTTATTAAAGTAAGTAATTTATCTTTTTCCTTGAATAACTCCATTTTAGCTAAATAGACAATATTAATAAAAAACACTAAAATATATGTAGAAGTTTAAGAACAGTTATTAAAAATAAGAAACAGTAGTGACGAATATATTTTTTATTAATTTAAAGTTAATATATTATAGGAGAAAATAAAGTGTTTTCTTCCTGCTTTTAATTATGGATTATATAGAGGAAAAGAAAAAAATTATTAGAAAGAAAATTCTAATATATAATCTCACAAAAATCCAAGTATATTTTAAGATTTCTTTTAATAAATATAATTTTTATTGTTATGTATTATTGCTAACATGTTACATTTTTTTATTATAATTATTTATATTTATGAGTTTGGTTTGTGATGGCTTTAATAATCTCTCACTTTCTTTGTAACCCATCCATTCCAAAATTGTACTAATACTTTTAAAACTTCTTTTATTTCTTCTTTTATAGGTAAATTTGGTGTTAACAATGGTGCTAATAGATTTTTCTTTACATAAATAGTTTGATAACATGTTATCTTTCGTTTTTTTGACAATGTGATTCAAAAGTATACTCAATATTTATAATATTTAGATCTGGTATATTCTGAGAGAAGGAAGATGATTGTCCAATTAATATTGATTCATTATTATCATTTTGAGTTGATATTATTGAATGTTTTTCTGATAATTTTTTAACTATTTTTTTTTCTTTTCATTTTTTTCTATTTCTTTTTCAGAATTTTTTATATCTTTAACTTTACCAACTACTACTTCTTTACTTTTTTTCCTTTAGTATTAATTGGTTCTATTTGTAATATTTCTTATTTATATATTACTTTAATCTTTCTAATCCTAACTTTTATGTGTATATCAAAACTGATTAGTATTCAAGTGATTTCATATTAGGTGAATATGCAGATCAATAAAAAAAATTTTCTATTTTGCCAATACGCTAAAACAAAAAAACTTAAATAAAAAACTGCATACTCAATCCATCTAATCATTACGCAACCCATTTAATTTAACTAAGTATGTATTTCAATTGATTTTTTTAAGCTTTGTAAAAGCATTAGGTAATGCATAAGTTAGCTATTTTCTTTTTTTTAAGTTAATTTCTCATAAATTTTTATTTTAGATGCTTATGATCAGAGATCTAATCAGGTTCTACTGTTCAATATACATAAGGTATACCAAAGTATTTAAAAATCATTCAGGGCTACAATGAAATGAAATATTAAAACATATATTTTACAATAAAATTTCATCATATATTCAGTCAGTTTCTAATACTGAACTCTTACATTTAAAAAAAGTTATAATTAAGAAGCTATAAAAATGACTTAAAAAAATCATACTGCAGTTAGAGAATAGTCTTTTTTATTACATTGCAACAAAAATGCTTTTGTTGGTATTTTCAAAGAACATATAATGTGTTACTTTTCATGTAGTTCCTTTTATTTTTGTAATTTTAAGAGAGAAAAGGTATTTGATAATATTA